GTCCCTACAACCAAACCACCCCATGCCCACCCGCAACCTACCCTTCTCCCTCTGTATATTTTGCAAAATAATTTCTTGCACAAGGAAGTTTCACATTTCCTTTTACACAAACATTTATTCAAACAACTTAAAATAATTAAAAACAAGGGATTCTTCAATCTAAGTCCAAAATCTCTATCCGTTATTGGATTTAGTCCACACCTTTTTAGCTGTAGATTTGGGTCCATTGACTTTTATTAATTTTTTCTTGTATCAATTTATCCTTTGAGGTAAATAAAAAAAGAACATTAATTAAAAATCCAAATTAAAGTATCGATTCTTTCTTTCTAAATGGATTTCATATTTTAAATTTTGAATCCTTCTATTGCCGCCATAACACATCTGTCCCAAAAAAAAAACTTTTCGTCAAGTAAAATACTTTAACAATTAACTATTGCAATATTTACCTAATATATAGATAAAATACAGTTTAAGTCATGAAATTAATGACCCATATATTTTATCTTACAATGAAAATTAAGACCCATAGGCAAGCACCAACATAAAACTGTACCTATCCATAAGGTTGATTTGTGAGGATTCAAGCATATGAACAAATAAAAAAAAGTTCATATAAAACAATGAAAGTAGGAGTATTATTGATGATGTCTTACCAACAAATATTTACCTCATTATTAGGTAAATATGAGATAATATACCTAATTATTAGGTAAATATAAGATAATGTACCTAATTACTAGGTAAATATAAGATAATGTACCTCATTACTAGGTAAATATAAGATAATATACCTAATTATTAGATAGATATAAGATAATGTACCTACTTACTAGGTAAATATAAGATAATATACCTAAATACTAGGTAAATAAAGACAGATTACAAACAACCAACATACATGGAATTGTCGTATCTGGTGTAAGCCTTTTTAGACATCCCACTCAACCTTATCGCTTTTTGCCAATCGAATAGAAGCCCCGACCTATAAGCCATTCAACCCAAAAGAATTACAACCACAAAGACCCAATATCCAACCTTATCACTTTGCATACCTCACCTTGCAAATTATAAGCAACCTGATAAATTCCCAGTTAGAAAATCAATCAAACAAGGATTTTGGTTTCGAATGAAACTTACGATGCCGATTATAGAAGAGTCATAGGGTATGTGATAGCTGACTTCTTAGAGAAGTTGGAGGGCTTAATGGGAAAAGAATTTGGCTCCACTGACTTGTTGGTGAAAGTTGCAAAGATTGTGGTTGTGAGAGAGTCCGAATTGATTTAGGGTAGACAATATCATAATTATTATCATAAAAGTTAATTACCTTATTTAATTTTTAGGGGCATGATGGGAATAATTAAGTAATTTTAAAATGAAAAAAATAATATGTAAATATCAAAAAATCAAAAAGGAATGTAATCATACGTGGCACAAAAGTCCAGGGACTTGTATCAACAACAACAACTATGAGGATGGCATCCAAATTCTATTTTCGATTTTGGACTTATATCGAATTTTTTATAAAAACAAAGGGGGAGGTTAAAGGAGGAGAGAAAATACAGAGGGAAAGGGTAGGGGAGTTGGGCGTGGGTTGCAGGTTGATGGTGGCAGTGTTAAAAAAAAAAAAAACAGAGACCATTAAAAGAATCCCAGAGACCATTTTTTATTATGGGTGGCAGTGCGCAAGAAAACAACAGAGGGAGATTCCTAGGTTGTGGGTTATGATACACAACTATACAAAGATGTTGAAAGATATATGGGTTATATTATTATTTTTATTGAAAATGGGTTATATTATCTTGTATGATATACAACTATACACTCCTTTCTCTACGACGAAGATATAGTTTTATAACTATACATTTTCTCTACCACAAGGAGAGGACAGAGAGGAGAAGGGGAGAGCAAAAGGAGAGAGAGGGGGCAGAGGGTGGAGAGCGAGAGAGATAGAGTAGTGGAAGGGGATGAAAAGTTGCATAAAAAAATGGAATTTTCATGAAAAAAAATTATTTTTTATTTTTTTAATCCACATGTCACAAGATGATTGGATATGTGGGCTCTACTTATCTTCCACGCCACACTTAACAAAATTTCTAACGACATGGACTATTTATGATAGAAAGCCATAACATTAAAAACTATTAATGTCACAAAAAATCCTCAAGAACCATTTGTTACAATTTTGTAAGTCACTAGCAGCAGTTTTTAGAAGCAGCTGATGCTGCTTTTAAAAGTTGATGTGAATGGAAGCATGCAGGGTTCTTTAATGAATATTTCAATATGCCCGTATTGTCCTCGTTTATTTTAGAAAATGACATGATTTACCCTAAGTCTTCTTCTCTTTCATACCATGGAAGCATGCAGTGTTATAGTCACAACAATAATTATCTCGATATGTTTAATTAGAGTGTTGTTATTTCCACCCCCTTGTCTTATTTTTCCACCCACCTTATATTCAAAATTTTAAAGACAAATTACCCTTTGTAAAATGACTTCTAAGGACTTATGAAAAAACTTTTTTTTAAAAACATTTTAAATAAATAAAATTCAGTAAAATTATAATAAAATAAATTTTTTTAAAACAAAAACTCTCTCTCTCCTCTCTCCCTTCACGACATGTTGGCTTCTTCCTTAGAGGTCTTTCATCCTCCACTAGTAAAAAATCACCCTTGCGCGACGAAAAATTATTTGTCGCTCAAAGTTACTTTGCGTGACGAAACACAAAACTTCGTCGCTACAAACCTTGCGCGACAAAATTTTGCGCGACGAATTGTTTTTCGTCACGCCAAATCACTTTGCGCAACAAACTTTTGCACGACGACAATACATCGTTGCGCAAAGTCTTGAGTGACCAAATTTTGCGCGACGAAAAACTATTCGTTGCGCAAAGTCACTTTGCTCGATGAAAAACAATTCGTCGCGCAAAGCACTTTGCGTGACAAAAAATAATTCGTCGCTCAAAGCGACTTTGCGCGACGAAAGACAATTCGTCCGCAAAGTGACTTTGCGCGACAAACAATAAACTTCGTCGCGCAAAGTCTAATAAATAATTTTTTTTTTAAATCTTTTTGTTAGAAAATATATTTTTAAAATTGACGATCGAATTAGTTCATTGTATTCATATAGGGTCAAAGAGTGTAGCTGTAAAAAATCATCAAAATCGGAGTTAAAATAACCGTTAAATCGTGATTTTTCATTTATAACCGTCGAAAAGTTTTGTCCCATTACTTGATCTCTGAATGTTTATTTTTTTCGATCTTTGGCGTATATGATCTCGAAGTATAAACAAACAAGTTTGACAGTTGGATTGTTGAAACTTGTTTCATAGAATGTGTATGCCATCAAAATAATATATTCACTAACAATTAAGAGTTTATTTATACTTTTGTTAAATATAACATAAGATTTTGTGGTATCCACTAGTGTGAATATTTTAAATTGACGATCGAATTAGTTCATTGTATTCATATAGGGTCAAGGAGTGTAGCTGTAAAAAATCATCAAAATCGGAGTTAAAATAACCGTTAAATCGTGATTTTTCATTTATAACCGTCGTAAAGTTTTGTCTCGTTACTTGATCTCTGAATGTTTATTTTTTCCGATTTTTGGCGTATATGATCCCAAAGTGTAAACAAACAAGTTTGATGGTTGGATCACTGAAACTAGTTTCGTAGAATGCATATGCCATGAAAACAATATATTCACTAACAATTAAGAGTTTATTTATACTTTTGTTAAATATAACATAAGATTTTGTGGTATCCACTAGTGTAAATATTTTAAATTGACGATCGAAT